AGCATAGCGAATCTGTCCAGCAAGGAGCGTCAGCTGCTAAGCGACATCGAGAAGAGCGCCTTTCCCAAGTTCAATCGACTGACGCTCAACCAGAGTCCCATGACCAGATGCAGCAGCGATTTGTCCGGCAGCTGTTCCACGCTCGAGTTCGAGGAGATTCCATCGAAGGAGAAACAACAAACACTGGAAACACTGCTGGGCATTGGCTCCAAGCTGAAGCACGGCGTCGAGCTGGGCCGGCGTATTGTGCTGGCCTATCGCGCGGCCATGTATCTGGACAAGGAGTATTTGGATGTGCTGCGCACCAAGGACGTCAGCGTGCTGCTCAAGAGCGCCGCCGAGGAGGATTGCCTGCAGCGTCTGTTGGTGGTCAGCGATATACACATCTCCACGCGACTGACACCACAGGAGGTGCGCGTCCTTCTTTCACGATTTTATGCTGCTGCTAAATGAATTTAATTTTGCAGATTGCCGACTCTTTGGCCCTGGAGCTGACCACTTGCATTGTGCGTCCACGTTTCTATATATTCCATGCCAGCCAACAGCCACGCAATGCGCCGCGCAACGCCGATCTCTGGGGACACAATATTGATCGGGATTTTCACCTTTTCCTGGAGCTAACGCCCAATACGACGCTGCTGGGCAACTGTCTACTCGAGTACTGTGATGCACTGAAGGCCTACAGGCGCTACCAAGACAACAAGCCCTACGAGCAGAGCACGGCCTTTGAACGTCTCTCCGGGATTATTACACTCTATGGCCTGCCCAACAGCGGCAGCAGCAGCAGCAATGTGCCTGGCTCACCGGGCATACCCCAAGTGCTGTCGCACAAGAAACAGAATCAAATCTATGTGGAGCTGCTGATCAAGGCGCATTTGTGTTTTGTGCACGAGTGCTCCATGGAGGGCATTGCCAGTGTGCTGGAGCGCGCCAAGCTGCTCAACGCACAGCTGACCAACGCCAAGTCCTGGTCGCTTATTGTGCGCCTGCTGATTGGGATTGCGCGCTATCGTGAGATGTTCTACTGCTTCGATGCGCTCATCGAAAACGAGCAGTTCGAATCGCTACTGGGCCAGTTCGACGAGGATCAGAAGAGCGGTCTGCGGCAAGCCATCTTGGGCTATCTGCGCGAGTACAATCCCAAAAATGGCAAGGATCTGCTACGTCTGGCCGCGCATCATTTCCTAATGTACAAAGAGCTGGCGGAGATGTGGTCGCAGGAGGCGCAAGGTATCCTGGATAGAGTGCGCTCGGCAGCATCAACTGCAGCCGAGCCAAGCAAGCTCAAGGTTAGCCTGGAGCTGCAACAGCAGCTGCAACAGGCGCTGGAGTTTTTCACGCATGCCACCGAGAACTATTTGCTGGACAACAAGCTGATACTCGCTCAGCAGAGCGTGGCGCGCGCCGAACTGGTGGCCATGCAGCTGGATTTGTGCAACAAAGCGCTGGAGAAGCGCGGCAGTGGACCAGCTGGTGTTGGCACAAGCAGCACGGCGCCGCTTTGCATCAGCGTGATTGGCGTGCAAACACGAGAGCAATTCCGCGAGCTGATCAACAACCACTTAAGGTGGGTTTTTGGTGGATTCAAAATGAAACTTTAAAAACTACCAACTACCGCCCTATAGAGTACCCCAAACCCTGATACTGAGTCGCGCCTATGGTCACGATGTCAACTGGAGCGAAGCTTTGCTAACTCAGTTTGTGTTGCTTCAAAGACGCAGCTATCTGCAGGATTACCGCGGCCATCAACGCATCAATGACAATGTCATTGAGCAGGTTGTCAAGGGGTAAGCGAAATCGGCACTCACCTGACGCCTGACTAGAACGAGCTTGTTCCCTTTTTAGGTATATATTGCACACTCAGAACAATCCATCGAGTGCCAAACACGAGGAATCTCTGGCTCAGCTGGTGGAGCTCATTCGCTCCGTCACCCTCAAATACAAATTGGCATCCATTTTGGGCCTGAAGGGAATTGTGATGGCGCTGATAAACGACTCCACGGTACACTATTTGCGCGACACGAACTTTGGACGCAATGAAATGCACAACGTAACGAATATGTGACACATGATATGTGATTTTAACAATATAATATATATAAACGTACTGATTGTAATGCCAAATATGTAGTTTGTTGAATGCGAAAATTTTAACAAGGCGCGAAAAACAGCTCCAATTGTAGGGTTGTCATTTTTACTCGATGCGATACTATCGATATGCTATGCAGCAGGTATCGATAGCTCTTTAGCAGCAGCATCGATACGCTGGTGAATGGGAACGATACCAATTGCTTTCTGACACAAGTAAATAACGTGCGTAAGATTTCCTCGCACAGCAATTTATAAGGAAAAACTCATTTTATTTCATTTATTTCAACAAAGTGTGTTTGTTTCAAATTCTTAAGCGAATTAACAATAAGTTTTTTTTTATAGCACACACACAATGGCACAAAGCAAACTCAATGATCTAGCGGGCAAGCTGGGCAAAGGTGGCCCACCTGGCCTGGGAATTGGACTGAAGCTCTTGGCTGCCGTGGGTGCAGCAGCCTATGGTGTCAGTCAATCCTTGTATACCGGTAAGTTCTTAGATATACTACAAATAGCTTACATTGATGGTCAAAACAACAAAACACGACTTACGTAGCGGCATGTGCACATAACCTCAAAAAGCCTTTGTATGCGGCTGTGCGTGTTTGTGTGTGTGTGTGGGTGCTAGCGGTGCTATGGAATTTCATAACTAATTAAGACGCTTGCACAATGCATTCCTTCTCTGTTGTCGAAGGTTCACTTAAGAGTTGTACACAGACTCCAATTGGAATTATTTTCCGGGATGACATTTGCTCAGCACTTTCCCATTTGCCCGTTGCTCGTGGTTGCATAACAACAACTTTAAAAGTTTTATCTCTTTCTGTTTGCAGTGGAGGGTGGTCATCGCGCCATCATCTTTAGCCGCTTGGGTGGCATACAGAGTGATATTTACTCTGAGGGTCTTCATGTGCGCATTCCATGGATCCAATATCCAATTATTTACGATATACGCTCGCGTCCCCGCAAAATTTCATCACCCACCGGCTCGAAGGATTTGCAAATGATTAATATTTCGTTGCGTGTGCTGTCGCGTCCTGATTCGCTGAACTTGCCCTTCCTGCACCAGCAATTGGGCGTTGACTACGACGAGAAGGTGCTGCCCTCCATTTGCAATGAGGTGCTCAAGAGTGTCATTGCCAAGTTCAATGCCTCCCAGCTGATTACACAGCGTCAACAGGTCTGTAGAAGCTAAAATCAATTCCTTTTATTTTTGTATTTGATAAGCTGTGTTCTGTAGGTCTCGCTGCTGATACGCAAGGAGCTAGTGGAGCGCGCACGTGACTTTAATATTATCCTGGATGATGTTTCGCTGACTGAGCTGAGCTTTGGCAAAGAATACACGGCGGCCATTGAGGCCAAGCAGGTGGCACAGCAAGAGGCACAACGGGCCGTCTTCTTTGTGGAGCGCGCCAAGCAGGAGAAACAACAGAAGATCGTGCAGGCCGAGGGTGAAGCCGAGGCAGCCAAAATGATATCCTTTTAACAAAACTTAACGCATTCTAGCACACTTTTTAGGCATTTATTTTGTATGCACTTGGTTTGCACCTTAACTGATATGTTTACTTAGGTCTGGCCGTCAAGCAGAATCCAGCCTACCTGAAGCTGCGTAAGCTGCGTGCTGCCCAGAGCATTGCCCGCACAGTAAGATATAAAAGCAAATAACAATATTCTGACAAACTGATGTTATACCTGAATCTCTTGCCCAACAGATTGCCAGCTCACAGAACAAGGTTTATCTGTCCGCCGACAGCTTGATGTTGAACATTCAGGACTCCGGCTTCGATGACATGACTGAGAAGGTTTACAAAAGTAAATAACTCGTTTCGTCATTGAGTTAACGTTTAAGTTGAAAATTGAAACAAACTGAAAATTTGTTGTTTTTGGTTTCGAGCATTGGCCAAAACTTTAGACATATGTAGACCGTGTATTTGAGTAACGTTTTCTTAAATCTCTCTTTTTTTTCTCTTTGCCAACACACAATTCACTTCGTTTACGCTTCTTTCCTTTTCTTTTTACTTATTTTTGAAACGCGCAACGCAGTTCTAAACGATTTGGATTAAGTAAGCGGGCTAATTCATTATCTAATTGTTGATTAATTAATTCTATGCGATTGTTTTCTTCTCTTAATAACGCGAAATTGCATACATATAAGCCTAGTGCCTAAGTATCGTTTAGTTATATAACCTCTGAACGCGACGTCGCCATTTGCCGTACACACACACACACACACACTGTCTGCGCCGCGCCGCGTTTCATCTCGTGTTGTCTTGCCAGGCGGCAACAGCTTCATTTCATATCGTTGCCGCCGCGCAAGCGCACAACACGCGATCAACTGAGGCACACACAGTGTGTGGCAATGGGGTGACGAGTACGCGGCCAAATCGCCGCAGCATTTAGCGTTTTATCCCATTCAAGAACTCACCACGAAAACTTAATAAATGCGCATTGAGAAAACACTGTCAAGCCTCAAACAAATCAATCAATCGATTATATACATTTTAGCTCGACTCGTATCCTAAAACCACAAAAACCCCATCGTTTTTCAGTTGGCACCGGCCTGCCCAAGAATTGGCTAGACGCACGCAAAATGGGAACCGCTGGCGACACCAATGTGGGCAATGTAGCACGCAGCACCGCCGAACGCATCATGTAATTGACGAATGAAGAATCACATTATGGCTGCAACATTTTTTGGCTTACCGACAAATAACAAGAAATTCAAAACCCAGTACAAACAAAGCAAGAACACACAACACAGACTTATATAAACGACTACATGAGGGCCTTATGAAAATTACCTATCGATTAGCAAGACTATTGACTGCAGATGGCATTTCATCAAATACGATACATTTACTTATTATTATAATAATTGCATGTATAAAATACATAAGAATAGTACATAAGAGAGATGTCGTGTATATAGTATAATTTCTAATATGTATGTATAGACGATTCACATGTAAAAATTGTAGGCAGATTAGGTTCCTTGTTGTAGCTGTTACATTTGGGAGTTCTTTAAAGTTCGTGCGAGATCTTGACTAGAAAAATGTGTGTGTGTGTGTGTGTGTGTTTATTGTTATGCTTATGCGTAAGTCGGATATATCGATTTGTCTTCAAAATTGAGGTCTGATCTTATGGAATCTATTCCTTGGCTCCTCCGCCTACGTCAGCATAACAATCGAATTTTGTGTACTCAAAGTGGGATTCACTTTCACTTTAAATGCAACTTGCGTGTGTTTTGATCAACTTTTTGAGCAAAAAGGTGCCCCTTTAGCTAAGGTGCTGCCATTAACTTTCCCGTATTGTATATGTATATGTATATATATATATCTACCATATCATATTGGATCTATCCATAATAACGAACTCGAACAATCAATCATAATTCCTGCAGTAGGCGCGTTGGGGTTAGCTTTGTAGATTAGTGTATTTTGTTTTGTTTTTTGTTGCTTAAGAGTGTCGCCCACTCGACATGGACCAGGATCAGGCAGTCGATGGTGTCTTGCCGCTGCTGCTGGCACTGTCGCTGCTGCTGCTGGCATTGCTATTGGCGCGCCGACTCTCCGCCAGGGCGGGCGTATCGCGTCGATGGCGACGCAGCGTGGAGCTGGCCGATGGCGCCGAGGAGCTCAAAGCAATGTTGGCTGTAAAGGCAGCCGCCTCGGCGCGACTGGGCACGTTCAAGGTGCCGCTGTTCCCGTTCCCATTGCTGCTGCTGCTGCTGTTGGTGTTGGTGTTATTGCTGGCGTTGTTCGCTGCGGCAGCGGCAAAAGATTCGCTGATGCTGCTCAGCGGGGGTCATAAGTTCGTCGTCTGCACCAGTCCGCGCTCCAAATGGAAGCACTCCAGCACCGCAGCGCCCACACTGCTGCGACGCGCGACCATTGCATTGACCACACTCCATTTGTTCAGGCGCGGATCGTAGCGTTCCACGGAATTGAGCGAGGAGCTGCCATCGTTGCCGCCCAAGGCGAACAGCACACCCTCCACCTCGACCACCTCATGCGTGGATCTGTAAGCCAAATGGGTCAATTAATAATTTCCACTTATTGCTAACTGTCTTAGCTGGAAGCTTACCTGCGCGAATGCATAGCCGCAATGGGCTCCCAGCAGTTGCGGCGCAAGTTGAAGCGCTCGCCGCTGGACATGCACATGGTGCCATCGTTGCCGCCAATGCAGTAGAGATTGCCATCGGTGGAGGCGACACCGCAGCTGCTGCGTCGCGCTGTCATGCTGGGCACCGGCTGCCAGCGGCCCACGCGCGGATCAAAACGCTCCACGCTCGACTGATAGTTGGTCGAATCGAAGCCGCCCAGGCTATAGATTTGATTCTCCAGCACGGCGAGACGACAATAGCGTCGGCGCGTGCTCATGGCCGGGCAGGAGCTCCAGATGCCCGTCAGTGGATCATAGCGTTCCATGCTGCTCAGACACGAGGCGCCATCATAGCCGCCGCACACAAAGATCAGCCCGTCGTAGGCGCATATGCCCAGGCAGCTGCGCTTGGTGCCCATGGGCGTGATGTTGGTCCATTTGTTGGTCAGCGGATTGTAGCACTCCGCGGTGGCCAAATCGCTGACGCCGTCATAGCCGCCCACCACGTACAGCTGCTTGTGCAGAGAGGTGACACCAGAGCGGGAGCGACGCCACAGCATGGGCGCGACGGGAGACCAGCTGTTGCAGCGCGGATTATAGACCTCGCACTCGTTGTGTATGGCAAAGAGGCTGCCGCCGCCAACGGCAAAGATGTAGGGCTTCATGCCCTCCGGCCGGCGCTCCTGGGTGCGCTGGCTGCCCATCAGGCTGCGCTGTTCCGGCAATAGATGATACTTCATGGCCTCCAGCAGCAGTTCCTTGCACTCGGAGTCGTCGCGCATGAGGGTCTCCGCCTCGACGCAGCTCATAAGGAAATCGCGGCTAACCAGCGGCAGGCGGACGTGCGACATGAGCTCGGCAATGTGCAGGCGACGCTGGCTGAGATCGTGCTTCACCCAGCTGAGCACGCCCAGAAACACCTTCTCCTCGGAGCTGATGTTCAGCTGGCTGTTCGATATCAGCTCCTTGACCTCCTCGAACGGCAGCAGCAGAAACTCCTCAGTGCCCACCACCTGCTGGAAGTTCTGCAGCGCGTACTTGTGCGAGCGCGTGTGCAGCTCCTTGCAGGAGTGGGCATCCGCAAAGCTGCGTATGCCCAGGCAGTTGGACGGATGCAGCTGCCGCAGCAGAAACTTGCAGCACGCATCCCGCACCGAGTGCATCTGCAGCAGACCCGATGCCGGCAGCAGCACCTGCACATTCTGCTCCGTTATGGTAATCTCGCCCGTGTACGTGTAGTCTATCAGCTGGCGCAGCGCGGCGCTGTCCACATCGTGCAGACGCACCAGGCCCTGGTTGCGCTCCAGCATGTCATCTGCAAGTGGCAAAGGATCTTAAATTGCCCTGTTCCCACATCGTGAGCTGCGCCACTTACCATTAAACATGGCATAGAAATAAGGCGATACGGAGGCCAGCACCACGCGGTGCGCATTGATGGTGTCGCCGCCCACCTCCAGGCGCACATCGCAGAGCTGCAACGGGATTGAAGAAGCCATCATTGACACATGAAGCAACGTCAGCCGGCAAACAAAGTGTCACCTTTCACCCAAGTCCTGGCACTACGTGCTCAATTTTACAGTCTGCTACAGACATACCGAAGGCACAGTGGTTCGAACACTTGGCAAAATGCAGGACCTCCATTTAATATTATATTATTTTAATATTAATTAATTAAATTTTAATCTACACGTACTAACATAAATATATTGGTTTAAGTCTCAATTCTCAGCTCTTTTTTACAATTCAACATTTAAATCTTTATAAATTATGCTCCAAATCTTTTCAAAAATTTAAATCCTAAAACCTTTACCATTTAAATCGAACAGACGCAAATATATTTGATTCACAAATATGTTTAACATTTTTATTTTTTCGTTCAAACTTTGCGCGGCTTTGAACCACTGTGCGCTCCCCTTGAATCCTTACAAGTGATTCGCTTCAACTTCAGTGCCAGACACTGTGCCAGCCTCTCCATAAATAACGCAAAAACTGAGCCCCTGCAGCGGCCTCTTGTCAAGTCAGTGCACCCGATTAATATCTATTTTTAATGGCTCTGCAACAATTTACAAATTCTCGTATTTTTTTATTTTTATTTTTATTCAAATTTGCCAGCACACGTCATGTGACGGGGGCGGGTATGGAGTCGGCTTAAGGCCAACCACCCGCAGGGCAAATATTTTTGTTGCTGTTGCCTTTCTTTTTTTTTTTTTTATTTTTAACTAAACGACAATTTGCTCTATTAGCTCACCCAGCTGCCCTCTGGGCGGCACGACATTCACTCAACCAGGCAATTAATTGCGCCAAAAAAAAAAAATAAACAAGAAATATCAAATTAATGGCAAGTGAAATTATGTATACGCCATGTGAGCCGCCGGGCGCTTGGCCCAATCACGCTGTCCGCCCGGCTATGTTCAATTATAATTATGCTAAATACTGACGACATTAATTGAACAGATCGTATAAATAGTAAAAAGGTCTCTTATCTTAGATGCCCCTTTAATAGATTTCATTTAGCTAAGCTGGTTTAACTGGCGAAAGATAGTTGGCAAGTTTTTTCTTTGCAAATTAGGGACTAGATCAAGGTCCTTTTCTAGCGATTGGATAGAAGATAGTCATCTCAGGGTAAACTCAGTAGAGCAGGCCAAAAACACAAGTTCCTTGAAGTTCCGGAAACCAACCGGATTAATTTAAGGCCTTTAGGCGTAAAGGACTTTCGTCCAAGCTAAGGTCAATGAGTGCTACTCGCAGGTCATATGCTCGAAGTACTGGAAGTTTTCAATCAATAATCATGATTCCGGCCAGTTGTGGATACGAACGATTTGTATTTATAAGGAGAAAAGCTTTAGCCGGAACACTTCCGGTTTTTCACAGGATATAGTGCGTTTGTCTCGCAAGGATCAACTCTTTCGACTTGCATTTTTGGGACTCATCAAAAGTTCATTTAACTTTTCAATCGAAAAGGGAATGGGTCGAAAATCCTTGATATTTCGAGTACTAACAGAACGATTTGAAAGTCCAGTCGCAAGGACAACGCCGAGTTCGAAAGAATTTTGTCTTTGAAAAAAGGCTATTTCAGCTGTCTGAAGGACTTTCTTTTAAATTCCATAAGAACTTTGTTCGTGTCCTGGAAGTCCTTGAATGCCAACTAAACCAACTAAACCATAATAAATACGTTAAATCCTTAGGATGTCCTTCGGCCAGCTGATAGCTCTTACATTATTTAAATATCTTACTCTTATCTTGACAATTTCTAGTTATCCTGGCAATGTCAACTTGAATATATCAGAAGGATTATTATTAGATTCGGCCCCTTTATCGCCTACCTGTGCATTGTTGCGCATCTGGTTGATGGCCGCAAAGGAGGCGATGCAGTGTCCTGGGTTCTGATGATGCGCCTGCGGCAGCACCTCCTCATTGGGACCCGGCGGACTCAGATCGCTGGGCGTCTGTGTTGAATTGTTGCTGGTCGTGGTGACATCCTCATTGTTGCCACTCGCCTCGGCGGAGCTGCACACGGGAAGATAACAAGAGACACACGTTGCCGTTTTAAATCAAATTTCATGTATAATCCCAAATGACGATGATGGCGATGATGCTGGTTATGGGGCGACAAGATGACGCCAGACAGCGCCAGCGGCGCGGCTGAGGGTTGTTCACGCCGAAACTCGCCCCCATTCCGGTTTATTTGGGGGATGTTTCCGGCAACGACATGAATGGAAGCACTTGATTCATATTTATTTTATGTTTACTCACTGATTCGATTTGACGGGCAGAAACATTGCGTTGCGGCTTGCCACGAGTCTATCGCGACTTGCGTCTAAAACATATCCTTGGTCCTTGGTTATTTGCTGGGGCAGCTGCTCCTGCAGGCGTCCCACTTATATATTTCAGTCTTTTATTTGGCAGTTCCGGAAGTTGCAGCTAAAATGAAGTCGCCAAAGTAAAAATCAATAGAATGTAATTGTTTAGCTGGCACCCCTAAAACAACAACAGCAACAAGACACCAAATTTAGGTCACACGCAGTTTGGGGGCGGGCCACAGACATGAGATCATAGCTGCTCGACTTTTCGGCCATGTCAAAGTGAAAAGTAAGCATCTAAATAGCTGCGCAAAGTAGGTTAAGTGCCGACAATCCCGTTGCCCGCCCCTGCCCTCCCCCTTCCACTCCCCTGTCCACGCATTGTAAAGCTGCGCCCAGCCGTATTTGGGTTGAAGTCGCTTTGTCATAGCTCTTACTGCAGCACAGGATGCGATTGTAGAAGCCGGCCAAATGTCCTGCCACATGCAATTTTCGCATTTGCTAGGCCAACGATTGCATTCCATTCAAGGTTGCAAACAGAGTCTATAAAAAGCCAAAATATGCGGGAATATAGCGTAACATGAGAGCGCAATAATGTTAAAAAGGGTATACAGAAGTTAGTTAGTTTTTGGTGGGTGACCTTCTACCGCAACTGTCTAATATACCCTAACATACTGACAAGAAGACTTTGCAGAACAAAGCAACGGAGTCGTCGCAGGGTTCACTTCATGTTAATGAGTAATGTTATGTTGAGTATGTTAATGTTAAGTAATGTTAATGTTAAGTATGTTAATGAACTTATTGTATAGCTAGGTTAAGATGTCAAAGTGAAGTGTCAACAAGTTAGCTAATAAAATGAAAGAAAAAGAAAGCTTAGGTCCGGAAGACGACTTCGTAAAGTTAGAGCTTGCCCCGGATCTTAAAACGGTTGCCCAGAATCTCATAAACTACATTAATAGAAGATGAAGATAATAATAATAATAATAATAATAATAATAATAATAATAATGATAATAATAATGATAATGATAATGATAATGATAATGATAATGATAATGATAATGATAATGATAATGATAATGATAATAATAATGATAATGATAATGATAATGATAATGATAATGATAATGATAATGATAATGATAATGATAATGATAATGATAATGATAATGATAATGATAATGATAATGATAATGATAATGATAATGATAATGATAATGATAATGATAATGATAATGATAATGATAATGATAATGATAATGATAATGATAATGATAATGATAATGATAATGATAATGATAATGATAATAATAATAATAATAATAATAATAATAATAATAATAATAATAATAATAATAATATTATATGCTAATAATATACGCTATTGTTATTAGATATTGCGCAATACTGTAATGTAAGATAAGATAATTGTTAATGCATATAAATTCAAAAATCAATAAATAGCTCTTTATATCTGATATGATAGCGGTGCTATATATATGTATATGTATATAGAATGCGTGCTTCAAACGACTTTTTTTTTGTAACTTTTATTTCCCTTGTGCTGGCCGGCTCGAAATTGTGCTGAATGTTTACTTGCGGCTGGCCATGCAAAATAAACAGCCCAATGCAATCGACAGATTGTGCAAATAAATGAAAAAGCGCGTTGCTTATTATTTGTGCTCGTACTCATATTAAGTATATGCGCCCTCTCAATCCCCCCTTCTCCCTTCCCACCATTCCCCAACAATAATAACACGCTTGGAAAGTTCTGGGGTCAACAAAACGTGGCCAGACAGCCGTCCAGCGGCATGTGTGAAATCAGCGTCACGAATTTTAACGCTGCATTAACAAAAAGACAAGCACAACAACAACAACAAGAAATTAAACAAAACAAGACACACACAAAAAATTTCACTTTGCACAGAAACAAATTAACGACAATTTTTGGTTTTAGTTTAAAGCAAGAACAACAAATGTAGGAGTTGGAAACAGAACTAGGAGTGGTCGAACTTACAATCAGTTAAATTAAACAGGCGAGTATAATGTTGGCATTATACTCATTTGGTAATATAAAATCACTTATCATATGCAACCCTGCTATGGATATTTAATCAACGATAGATTTATCGATAAAAATACAAGAAGGAGAAGCTCAGTTGTAAGCTAGAAGAGTCAATGAAAAGATGTGTTCGCTGTTGCTCGTTGTCTTTGAAATACATGTCGGAAAATGTACAATAATCATAAGTTTACGCTTGTTCACCAATTTCTCTAAATAAATAATATGAACATAAAGAACTCAAGTGCTTGTGAAGGCCATCGAATGGTCATCCCTACAAATTTGGTGTCAGAAGTGGGATAGACAGAAATTGTGAAATTCGTAAATTGATTAACGAGTACAAACGTATGCAAGACTATTAATCGGAGCATAAAACGAAGCGGGTGCATGAAAATTCATTAAAATTCGTATGCCCTGGAAAAAATGGAAAAAGTCAAGAATCGTCTAGGATTAATGGCGACAGCGGCGAAGTATGCCTAGAGAGCTCTAGTAAGAGCGAGACAAACAGTCGTGTATTGCGTGACAGTGGTCGATAAGCGCAAGCGAGAAGGCGATGTTTTAAATTCTGCGTAGCAAAGGCTGGATAGCGCAAAATTTTCACTTCGTGATGAAATAAGAAGTTGCAGATCAAAGAGGCGAAGAGCGAAGAGCGCGGAATCTTTCAATAAAAGAGCGTGTGACTGGAACGTGCTTCAACACGACAACGATGATCACAGGGTGTATCAAGTTACAGATCAACAACAGAGTATGTTATTTCGTCATTATATGAAAATAATTAACTAGTTGTTGAGTAAAGAGTGTTAAATCAGTAAAAAATTTTCAAAGAATCAAATTATAACAAAGAAGAAATTAAGTGTAAGCAAACACAAAGTGAAAGTATAAGTTAAGACAGACGAATATAATAATTTAATAATTTCTAAAGTTGCTGAAAAAAAAAACTAAAATTTGATTCATAAGAGTTTAATTACTTATACCATTAAGTTAAGTACATTGAATTGTTTATTTGTAAGATTCAATTTTAAGCATTGTGAAAAGCGAGCAACGACGATAACAAAATGAACAGAGACGAAATTTTGGCGTTAAGAGTTAACGAATTAAAAGAAAAGTTATCGGCACTTAGTTTGGTAACAACAGGTAGAAAGCAAACTTTGCAAGACCGACTTTTAGAATATTATGGGTTGCAGGTTGACGATAATGAATCTGAGTATGACGATGCTGGGTCGGCTCATACCCGTCAAAGCTCACCAATGCAGATAGTCCGAACAACGTTTACATTACGCGACATTGAAGATTCACTCTCGCAATTCAATGGGTCAAATCAACCAGCTGTTGAAAAATGGATTCATGAATTTGAAGATAACGCTTTGGCAGTGCAGTGGAACGACCTTCAGAAATTTATTTACTCAAAGCAATTACTAAAAGGTGCAGCAAAATTATTCGTGCGCAGTCAGCATGGAATTTCAGATTGGATATCTTTAAAGCAAGCGCTATTGGAAGAATTTGGGACGGTAGTTTCATCAATAGACGTCCACCGCATGTTGCGGAATAGGCGTAAGCGTCAAGGTGAAGATTATATAGAATATCTGTATAGCCTTATGGAAATTGGCGGACCTCTTAACCTGGATGACTCAAGCCTGATAGAATATTTTATTGAGGGAATACCTGACTCGAGGAGTAACAAAAGTAATCTGTATCAGGCCAAGACTCTGCAGCAACTAAAAGAACAAATCAAGGTATATGAGAAAATCCGTAGTAGTCGCCCTCAAGCGTCTAATACGGGTAGGATGCATAACGATACCGAAGAAAAGAAACCTGACTTGAATAAAGAACGAATTAAGAAATGTTTCAAATGCGGCGATCCATCACATCTAGCCAGAGAATGTAGACAGCCAATAAAATGTTACAAGTGTGCTCAACCAGGGCATAAGGCAGCTAACTGTTCAGGATCGCGTGCAGTGGAGAAGAAAGAAGGCCAAAATGCGAACACGATGATAAACAAGGCCAACAGTAGTGGAAAATGCATTTTTAAGGAGTTGTCTTGTAAGAACATATGCTTCTCTGCATTAATCGATACAGGCTGTGACCTCTGTCTGATACGCGATGATATCCTTAAAGAGCTAGGAAAAGTTGAACTGAATAATGAAAAACAGTGTCTTGTTGGTATCTGTAATAGTGAGCTAAATACACTGGGAAGCTTTGTCACTCAAGTCGAAGTTGATGGTATCTTACTGGATATAACCTTTCATGTTACGAGCAGAGACGACATCCAATACTCAGCTGTAATAGGAAACAGCGTATTGAAGCAAGCGGACTTAATAGTATCGGAAAATTTCGTAGAATTTCGACCCAAAGTGAAGGACAATGCAAACGAGAGAGTAATTGACAAGACATCAACAATAACAGAAGATACTGTCGAAAATAAGAAGCCAGACATAGAGCTTTTACAAGAATTCAAAGATGTATGCTTTTTTGCAGAAAATCAGGAGGCTGAGATCGATCTACATCACTTAGAAAAACCTGTTGCAGACGCAGTTCAAGCAATGATTAAAAACTATTCACCTGAAATGAAGAAGAAATGTCCAATTGAAATGAAAATTTTGTTAAATGATGAGCGTCCAGTTTTCGAACGCCCAAGGCGCATATCACATGCGGACAAGTCTATTGTCGATTCGCAAATCAAAACTTGGCTAGAAGAAAAGATCATACAGCCAAGTACATCGGAGTATGCATCTCCTGTTGTCCTCGTTCCGAAAAAAGATGGTACCAAAAGATTGTGCTGTGACTACAGGCGTTTAAACGAAAAGATCGCGAGGGACAATTTTCCAATGCCCTTAATAGACGATGTGATTGAGAGATTGCAGGGCCAAAGTGTGTTTACTACACTTGATCTCGCAAACGGATTTTTTCATGTTCCAATTGAGCCAAATTCGAGAAAATTTACATCATTTGTAACAAGTGCAGGGCAATATGAATTCCTGTTCGTCCCTTTTGGAATATCGAACTCCCCAGCTGTATTTTCCAGATTCATTCATGCAATTCTTGTAGATCTGGTACAGGATGGTACAGTCGTAACTTATATGGATGATCTTATAATTCCCTCCAAGGATATAGATGAAGGTATCCAAAAGTTAAAGCGCGTACTGGACAGAGCAGCAGAGTTTAACTTGCGTATTAAGTGGAGCAAGTGCCAGTTTCTCATGAAGGAAGTTGACTTTTTAGGGTACGTTATACAGGGAGGCACAATAAGACCATCTGCAAGAAAAACCCAGGCAGTTCAAAATTTTCCTATACCGCATGACCGAAAGAGTTTGCAGCGTTTTCTCGGATTAACATCGTACTTTAGGCGCTTTGTAGAAGACTATGCGCTGATAGCCAAACCGCTCTCCGATTTGTTACGGAAAGACGTGCAATTTAAAGTTGATGAAGAACAACTAGTCGCATTCAGGCAATTAAAATCAGCATTAGTTAGTACTCCAGTATTGCGATTATATAATCCGAAAGCCAAGACTGAAGTGCATACGGACGCCTCAATGAATGGTTATGGTGGTGTACTCTTGCAAAAAGACTCGGACGATCAATTGTTGCATCCAATTCAATATTTAAGTCGGAAAACAAAACCCTCAGAAGAGAAGTATCATTCTTATGAGCTTGAGGTGCTGGCTATAGTCGAGGCCTTGAAAAAGTGGCGCGTTTACTTACTTGGCATAAAATTTAAGATTGTGACCGACTGTAACGCTTTCGCTTTGACCATGAAAAAACGTGGAGATATTCCATTGAGAGTCTCGCGTTGGGCACTCTTCCTTCAAGATTTTGACTACAGTATTGAGCATCGAAATGGCAGCAAAATGAGGCATGTTGATGCTTTAAGCCGCGTATCCTGTCTTATGCTTGAAGACT